CACCTGAAAAACTTCGATTTAGTTAAGAACGCCTCTATATATCCATTTATCATAGGGAAATGTTTTACTGGCATAAAATTCCTTCAAATGACGCGATAATTAAAATACTGACCGATTTTACAAGCTGATTTATATGACTTTGATCTGCTGCTATTGTAGTAGCACAAATCTTTAAATGTTGTTGGAAACGTGTCGCCATCCTGAAAGGAGAGAGGATCTTCTAACAATTACTACGGCTGAAAAGGAATCTTCCCTACCGAAATAGCGGCCGGCTGTTAACTTTATGCGGAATTTCACTCTGAGGAATATCTTTCTTACCAATAGCATGACGAAGAATCGGCAAAAAACGAGGAATCTCCTTGAAAACACGGAAATACAATCAAAGGATTGACTGCATTTATACCAAGCACAGCTGCTGCGAACAAACCTTGAATCGTTTGTATACCTCGTCATCATCTAGCGTTTCAACCTTAGCGTTACCTCCGCTTACCACGACGATACCTTTGGATTTTTTCGAATTCCCTGGAAAGGTTGGGAACACTGTTCAGGTCTTCATAATGAGGAAGTACATGGAAATTAGGACTATTCGCTGTAACCCCTACCTAGCTTATGAAAAGAAAGCATGAATGAAGATAAAAAAAACTTCACATTTTTAAACCCTCCGCAGTCAGTTCCAGCTATATGCTATTGTTATCAGAGTTTTCATCTTAGACCATCGGAGGAATAAGACTTCGGCGATCTCAGACTAACTTCAAATGAGGAGCGCACGAATCGAAACCTTTTACACACTTCTGATTTGAAGTAGTTAGCTGTGACAAACCTTTTCCTGATAAAAATGAAAATGTCGAATTCGTAGAAGCTTGAGGGGAAGTTCCACTCGAACTTTGCTCGTTACCCATATTTCAAGAGAGAAACTCTGGAGTAAAAGATTGACTGTAAACAGGCTTCTAAAAACAAACTGTTTGAAGAAATATTTACCTAGAAATAGTATGAAAGACAAGTTTCGCAATTTACACAGGGTTGCTGTCGGTCGACACTGCACCCATAGAAATCCGATCGACTCCGGATTCCAACCAGTTACGTTCGAGATCCGCTAAGGATTCCTTAAACGAATTGACTTTAGGATGTCTACTAACGCCAAACTTCAACAACCGTACATATTAGTGACTGTTTCCATTCAGCAACTGTTTCTGCTCCCGTTTAGCGTGAAGGGAGCATCGCGGATTGGTACCTGATGCTCCCTTCACGCTAAACAGAAAGAATACCTCCGAATGCTCCAGCTATGTGTATCTAGGTCGGGAAGTCAACATGAT